AAAAAAGCGATGAAAGTCAACATATTTTCAACACTTCGAAAGTTTTAGTTCTTAAGGAATGGTCTTATAGATGCCTCAGAGGACTTATACAAACCTGTGAATATAATTATGCTCGTGAATGGACTCAATGGCCAACACGCTTTGAGCAATGTAAAACTTAGCCATACTTTCAGAAAGTGTGTCTTCTCTCATCAGCAAAGTCATCATGTCGCCGCCAGGGAGATATTCCATGATGAGATATAAATACTCAGCATCTTGAAAAGAGTAATATAATTTAACTATGAAATGGCTGGCCACTTCTGCCAATAGGTTCCTCTCTGCTCTCACATGTTCCACCTGTACAGCAAAATATTTTGAGATAAAAGAGGCTATAATGTTAAACCACTTGCAAAAATTTACAACATATAAATAATTACAGCCAAGAAGACGAGGGAAAACACATGCATGCATGCACACACCAACACACGTACAAATATAATTTTTTTTCACTTAATACCAAATGTAGAAACCTTGAGAGCATTAGTACTTCTCAATAATCATAGAGAAGAATCTAGAATTCAACAGACGATAATAGAATATAAATATTCTGTATGTGTGATTATAATATGTACTACCTGTCCTCTTGAGAGCATTTCGGATTTCTTCAGCTTCTTCATGGCATAAATATTGCCGGTTTTTTTCTCTCGGCATAATCGGACCTACATCGAATTAAAGCAGAAGCTCAAGAAGCAACCAAAACATGAGGATATCACTAGTTTACAATGATTATCAAGTGGCATAAAATATGTTATCTGACTGGAAGGGGGATTGGAACTTCATGCATGTCATTCATATAATAAAAACAGAAAGCAATTCGGACAAGATTTGAAATGCAATAAAACCGTAGAAACTGAGATAGGAGAAGAGGGATATGCCAACAATAACACCAACCTCACCGAAGGCTCCACGACCTATAATGGTAAGCAGGTCAAAATCATCCACGCATATCTTATTCCTTTTCAATCGCATAAACTCGGTTTCCTTTCTTTCTAAATCTTTAAGCAAATTTATTTGTTCCTCTTTGGGCACATCTGAAGACGCCAACTTCCTTTCTAATACCCATCGCCTGGAGTGAAAAGCATTAAGTATATAAGCTTTAGAATGCGCCTAAAATGTCTGGCAGTGAATCCAAAAGAATAGGAAAGGAATTAGACTGCATCGATAAAAGGTATAGTAATTGAACATAGCTAGGAATAACTTTTTGGCATTCAAAACCACTTTAGATGCCATCAGTCCTGTTTACTTCACAAGTTGATGATGCAATTAGAGGAATAAGTCGAGTTTGTTAGAGCCAAAAGAGTTTGTTCACGTGTTAGCCAAAACTTTGATATCGTTCCAATGACAATAATTGATTAAGTTATTTGTTTTTCACATGTCAAACAATTTTCAAAGTCTTCATTCCATGAATACAAAAAAAGAATACAAAAATGGCAATTGATATATCCAAGAATTTCCTATAATAAGAGCACCCTGTGTGAGTGCGTAAATCGTCTTCAGATTCGCAATTCATGCTTCACAAAATAAAAAGAGTAACGGCCACCTGTCATGCCACGACAAAAATCTCGAGTACCAACTAGGGAATCTTGAACTAACTTCCCTGCCTTCATAGCATGCAATATATTGCCTTTAATGCATCAAGTTCAAACCTACTCCATGCATCCATGGAAAACACAACATGAAAAGATACAGCTCCTGTGGCTTGCACACGCAGAGTTATAAGACAAATTAACTTCATTTATATTTGTTTTTCACGTCAAACAATTTTCAAGTCTTCATTCCAAGATATATAAATGACTGCTGACATACCCAAGAAATTCCTATAATAAGAGCACCCTGTGTAAGTAAATCGTCATCAGATTCACAATCATGCTTTATATAATAAAAAGGGTAACAACCACCGGTCATGTCACGACAAAAATCTCGACTACCAACTAGGGAATCTTGAAGTAATTATTGGCCTTAATAGCATGTAATTTATTGCCTTTAATGCATCAAGAAGTTCAGAAATACTCTATGCATCCGAGTAAAACACAACACACAAGGATACAGCTTAGGTGGCTTGCAAACACAGAATTCTAATACAAATTTACTTCCTTTACTCATCCGGAGACGAGTATTATAAGCTTGACACAAGGAAAATTTCCAAGTATTTACCTTATTCACAACTCTTGCACACTATTGATTTAGCATCTTAATCCCCAGTAATTTGGCTCTACATTTAATCCAGTTCACTTAACAGTCACCAATCCCAACTCATTGCATCAATCAATCACTAGAAATGCAATCCCTTTGATCCAAAAACTCCCGCAACAGACAAAAACCAAACAAGGGTCTCAATTGAATTTTAAAAACTGAAAATTTAAAGGGTAAATTTTCCCCCAAAAAATGAGGGTAACATAAATTTAAAAAAAAAAAAATCAGATAAAGCAGTGGATCCCGTAAATTACTTAATTAATCCAAGACTACTTCACCACATTCCTAAGAAAAAGGAAAGAAAAGAAAAAAAATGGCCACAACCCACAAGCCCATTATTGGTACACATATCTGTACAGGTATGTATAAACACACAGAAATACACACATATATATTCAGAGAGAGGGAAAGAATGATATTGAACTTGCCATGGCATACCTTTCTTTCCTTTCCTGTATGCTTTTCATCTGATTTTTGTAGTGATTCTCGATGTACTGTTTAGCAGCAGCAACTTTCTCCATCGTCAAGCTCGAACCTTGAATTTCTTCTTCCCCATTGCTATGGTTTTCAGCTCCCTCCATTAATGCCTTCCTCACTCTCTCTCAATAATAAATTTCCGCTAAATTTTCTCTCTTTCTCTCTCTCTCAAGTGGGCATATATATGGAGAGAAGAAAGTTGTGCCTATGAGTGAGTGACTGGTGAAGTCAGTGTGTTTTTGTGTATGGTCGAAACGAGAAAGGGAAAACTAGAGAGGGAAAACTGTAAAGCGGTGTCGTTTTGGAAGGATGTGGTAATGTAGAGTGTGTTTGGTAATTTTTGTAATGTTGTATTGTTTGCTGAATTAGCTTTTGAAATTTTAAAAAACTTTTACTTTTAAAAAACTCTGTCATGTAGAATCCCATTTTATAATTTTATTAGTTAGCTATTTTAGATAGTTAAAGCTTTAAAAAATTATATTATTTGTAATGTTGTTTGATGAATTAGTTAGCAATTTTTAAAAACTATCTCATGTAGCATCCCATTTTATAATTTTATTAGTTGGTTATTTTATATAGTTCAAGCTTAAAAAGTATATTATTTGTAATGTTGTTTGATGAATTAGTTTGCAACTTAAAAATATATATATATATATATATATATATATTTACTAAAACTATCTCATGTAGCTTCCATTTTACAATATTTTAGTTAGTTATTTTAGAGTTCGGAATTGGTATTCATTTTCAATAGGTTTGGTATTATGATATGTTGTTTCTTTTAAAAAAAACAAATACTCTCTCTTATTTTTATTATTTGTCACTCCGGCTTAATTGATCATTGATTAAATAAATGTCGTTTTGGTTATTTTGTTCATATTTTTTCATTTTAACCCTTCATCTAATATACAGTATCTCTTCATATCTCATCCCCATCGTTCCCATAACATCCATTAAATAGGGTTAATATTGGCAAGAAAAAAAATCTTATAAGTGTGTTGCTTCTCAAAACGATAAATAATGAAAATAGGAGGGAGTAGATGTTACAACAATAAGTTTTATGGTAGATCGTTTATTCATTTTATGGTAGATCTTGTGTCAAATCGATGTAATGGTACTCTTTTTATAAATATAAAATACTTCCATTGAAAAATATCTTATTTTAAAAAACATTATAAATAAAATATGACAAAATATGATTGATAGTATAAGTATATATAAATTTTTTTTATTAAGTATAACGGGTCAACCAACCTAATAGTTAGATTGTCTCCCCCGAAAATTTATGTTACTTTTAACAAGAATTGTCTTGAAAACCACTTGCCTAGACTAATCTACGTCCAATGTGAATAGGTTTAATTAGAGTTGCAAACGAGTTGATTAGGGTTTGCAAACTAGTCGAGCGGCTCACGAGCCGCTCACTCGAGCTAATGCTCGACTGACAACTCGAGCTCGAGGCGGCTCAAGTAGTTCAATCAAGCAAATGAGTCAAGCCCCGAGCATTATTTCAAGAGGATCGTAGGCTCGACAAGTTGTTCGATTTTTTATTTACACAAATACCCCATATATTTTAATTGTCAATATTACAACACCAAGGCCAAATTGTCTATTTAGATTAAAAATAGTACATTCATATTTAAAATGCAGTTGTTAAAATTTTGAGCGGAACTCGAGCAATCTTATTTTTTCATGAGTCAAGTTGGTCGTGCTGTCGTAGGCACCCAAATTAACCTTGCTTAACAATATGTAGTAGCGTGAGCAAGGATCGTATCCACGGGGAATAATTTAATTAAATGACTGTAACTATGTGATTAAAATGGGGGAGAATTGGTTTAAAATCCTAATTATCTAATTAACAAGAAAATAAAGAAAGCAATAGTCAACAGTTCTTGAACAAGAGATTCGCAAGCAACAAGATGAAGATGAAAAATATTACCAAAGTGCTCCGGTTGAACTGATTTCCACCCCGAATTATTCTACTGATCCTCGATGCAAATATTATCAACTCATAAATACGTAGATGCCGTTGAATGATGAATTCTGACTCCTAAATTGGCTATGCAAAATAAATCCTTCTACACAACCCTTATTACTAAGCAATTCCCAACATCGTGTAAAATTATCCTAGCAATAGCATTAAGAAGTAGAGCCCGACAACACAAGCAACAAATAACTAATCCGTTAAATGCTAACTTGTATAATTATTTTGCCTAAGAATGATAACGCCTAAATCCGGTCAATCACCACACTTAGATGCTTCTTACGATAGATAAATTATCTAAATCCGACTCAATATCTACCAAGCAATAGATTAAGTGCACAAGACAATAGTTGATCAGGCTACGATCCTAACACAAAATCATAAGCATAAACACAATTAATACAAAATATAAATTAATAAATAAAAACTAATTAGATCTCACAGTATTAAGTTCGGGGTTTCAATCGTGTTCAACCGAAACAAAAGAGAATTAGCCGCGCAGGGCTTCCATGATCCAAGAGAAAAGAGAAAGAAATATAGTGAAGAAAAGAGAGGAGAGAGTTGATGTTCGTGAAGATCCCTTCTGTTGCTCCTTGCGGCTATTGTACGTGCAGTGTAGGTCTCAAAAATCTGATCTCCTCATGTTTAATTATGGTTGGACTTTTAATCCTATTGGGCTCAATGTTTACGGGCCTACGTCCAAATCATAAGCTATGCACTGTCCGTCCATACTGACATGGCCATGTTTAAACAAAACCCAGTGCTGCCATGTTGGTTATATGTGCACCATGCGATCTAACTGCACAAAAATATCAACAAAGGTAGTTTCTACTCGAAGACACATGATAAAGTCGAAAACACGTCACTTAAGCACAAATATCCAACACATAGTCCAAATTTTACTATATTATAAACATATATTTTCGACTTATCAAACACCCCCACGCTTAAAACGATGCTTGTCCTCAAGCATAAAGTCAAATCCATTATCTCAACTCACAATCATCTTCTATCATCCAATGCCAATTCGAAACATAAAGTAAGCATCAACACACAAGTCAAACTTGAGTCCCCATCAACCAAACAATGAGAAATACACCCAACAATCACGTAACTTAAACACATGGAAATTAACACTTCTCACGAGATTCACTCTTTCACTCAAAGTGTATAGGCAAGATATAAATGTACGCTCAAGTCAAGACATCGAAGATTTTTACCATAAGCTTGCAAAGATATCATGTCCAACCACCCAAAATGAATAAGAATAAACACAAAATCAAAGGGTTAAAATTGGGTTGTAATGAGGCTTAGGGTAAGGTGGGATAAGAAAGTTAAAGGCTAACGGGATCGAATCAATCATACAAACTCGTCATAAACCAAGCTCAACCAACATGAAAAGCAAGATAATCATGTGATCTCTATAAGCAACCAACATAGGAATAACCTAGCACAATGCTCTTTCTTTCTTTTTCCTTTTTCTTCTTTTTTTCTTTTTTTTTTTTTTGTCTTTTTTTTTTTAATACGAAATATAAGATAAACTAGCCTACATCGGATAACGAGACTACGTACAAGGCACGATCACATCTAAGTACATGATACCATGAGCTCTTCTTCATCCAAAAGATATTCATATAATTGATTCTATCCAAGGTTCAAAAGATGGCATCAAGAAAAGGATATTATAGCTTATAGTGTGGTTATAAATCAAAGAAAGGTTTAAGGCTCAAAAAGGCTTACTAGTGATTTATGAAAAGGGTGGGCTTCAAAAGAGAGGCTATAAAGAGAAATGGCAAGTCCTAAGTACCCTTATTAAGATTTTATGCATTCAATTTCATCAAAGGTGTACACATAGACATGCATAGCAAGGCAAGTTCTAGAAAAACCAACTAGTCGAGACATCACACATTCAAGAAAATGGAGCAAGATATTTAATATATGCTCATAAGCTCAAATCTCACCAATAGGAAGGTAAAAGCTAAGTGTTAATCCCATGCGTCTCCATCACAGAATCATCAAGTAATATTCATCATCATGTAGCATCAAGGGCTCAAACAAAACAAGTGTATGGACACAAGAAAAGAGTTGTTCTACTGAATTGGCATAGATGAATTACAAATGACCACAAGAGAAATAACAATCAAGACTCAACACCATTAAACAAACCTCAGAACTCAAAACTCTGTCAAACACTCTTGGCCACATTTCAAATATTATGAAGTAATGCTAGGCAAAGAGACTCACAAAATTTTATTCAGGTGGCAGCTCTCATTGTGCATGAATAATCTTCTATTTCTCAAACATTTGTCAGACCTCCCATTAAAGCTGCTCACGATTCCAAGTTGATGTGGAAAAAGTTCCAGGTCTCTAATGACATGGCCATGTCATTTAAATACCAACACCACCAGTCCCAATGTTGGAACAAAATTCCTGCCATAGAACAGAAAGAAAAGTATCAGCAACAGAAACAAATTATCTTAAGGCGTGGGCATGGCTTAGAAAAACTATCATTTAACATGTACGTGGTTCGTCCATGCCTTAAAAAAAAATCGATTCCACCTTAAAATCACCCCAAATTCTTAACAAACTAGAGAAATAACAAAATAAAGACTAACAAAATAAAAAAAAATAAAATAAAAATAAAAATAAAAATTGGGTTGCCTCCCAAAAAGCGCCTTTTTTTATCGTCGTTGGCTCGACATAAAGCTCTCGATTTAATCGGAATAAACGGGGTCCTCGAGACCCATTCTTTCTTCATGCTCGGGCTGAAAGTTCTTGTGATATGGCTTAAGTCGGTGTCCGTTGACTATGAAACATTTCAAGCTCGACGGACTCCGAATCTCAATTGCCCCATGCGTACAGACCTTGTTGACTTCAAAAGGTCCTTTCCATCTCGTTCGTAGCTTTCCTAGAAACAGCCGAAGACGGGGCTGGTATAAGAGAACTTTTTTCCCTACCACGAATTGCTTTCTCGAAATCAACTTATCATGAAAAGTCTTCGTCTTCTCTTTGTAGATCTCGGCACTCTCATAGGAATCGTTTCTCATCTCTTCCGATTCTTGAATTTGTAGTTTTCTATGCTCACCTCTTGCACTCATGTCCAGAAGCTTCAGGACCTCAGCTTTCATGACTTCCAACACCACTGGATTCAAGCGGTGTTGGGGTTGATGAACAGGTTCAACTTCTATTTCCCATAAAATGTGATGCGTGCAAATTGAGGGGCTTATTCCCTTTATGTCCGAGATAATCCACTCCAACGCTTGCTTGTGTGACTGGAGAACT